CCCACCCCCTCCAGGAATGCCCCCAAAGTCCCCCGCTGGGGGTGGAAGATGGACTTGACAACCCTAGTTCTAATCAGCTTTAAACTAGAAAGTATTGGAAGAGGGCCATAGAAAAAAAGCATGCCAAAACATTTGAAAAGTGTCAAAGTAATGATCTCTTTACTGTCCTCTTCAATTTAATAAGTTCAACTAAATTTTACCATGCATTGTTTCACTTGATTATTCTAAAATGTATGTGTAAAATACACAATGCTGTATGTGTCATAGCTGAAAAGTTGAATCATTTGTGAGGGAATGGGAAATTGGAATAAAAATAGTCTATGGAAATAGATGGCATCTTTTAAAGGTCACTTTTACTGTACAACAGCTTTTAAGAACAACAGTAATCTGCCAATTGGAAAAATTATGATTTTCTATTTCAAAGCTCTTGATCCACAAGAGGCCTGCTCAGGTAATGTTTTCCCCTTCGTCAGAACTAAATGATAAGGCTGGTCACTACTTTCCTGGTCTCAGTTGTCACAAAAGGCTCAGAGAATACTGCACATCACACTTAAGCACAATCCTGTTGGCTTTTGTTGTGGATCACTCAGAATACAGGAATGGACCACAAGGGAATGTACAGCATGGCTGATTATAAGCTTTCACTTACTACAGAAGACAATTCCATCAGTGGAATGGAGCTTTCTTTCCTCTCCCCATCCTGTTGCATCCCATTGATCTCACTGAAATGCTGCTTCTGAGGGACGGAACTTTCAATGTCAACTTCATTAAAGATTGCATGCCATTCACAATGGATTATTTGACCCAATTAACAGAGATGTTGAGCTGCCCTTATAAAATCTTTGGTAGTGTGCAATCAGATATTTCTTTTCATGGCACATGGTATAAATCTTGTGTTTCAGTAGTACTTTGATGCCCATCTGATAGTCCTTTTCATAAATAGTTTTGTTCACACTATGTAAAGAGCCGACTCCATAGAGTTTTGCCCAAAATACCAAAGTGTTGCCGCTCGATGTTGCTGGCGTGATGAAGTCACTTCCACGTGATGTCATTATGTTGCGCACACATCACACACTCCCCCCATTCCCAGAAAGCCCCGCCCCCGCCGCGAGGTTGATCCAACCTGTCAACCCTACAGTCAAGTCAGCTTTTTTTGAAAATGGCCCTGGAAAATGTCCTCAGAAGTGTTGAGCCTAATTCACTGGAGCTGCGGTATTTTCTGCCAAAACACACACACTCATGGGTTGCATAATATCCAGTTCCTACATTACTGGTATGGTATGGCTTCTAGTGAAAAACTGCTTTCACATTGTTAGATCTCCACCTTACAGCAGTGGCGATATCTCAGTACACAAGATCTGATTCAAATACACAGAAATAGCATGTGGCATCTTCATCCTAGACCTGAAATATATTTGAATGTATCCTGCTGTAAAGAAGAATGGTTCCTTGCTGTGTTCTGTAAAGTAAAATCTTTGGTTCAGGCTGTACAGAGGCCTGCAAGAATTTCCCCAGAGACTGTTAGAGACAGCTCAGAAGCAGATAGCACAGTGACCTTGCCAGCTAAATTGTTTTCATCTGCAGTACCAACCACCTTTGGTGCTTCCAGTTAGCACATTCCAAGCAATTGAAGTTATGGACACCTGTGTGGGGGCAGGGACGGACCTAGCTGCAGTATGGGTTTTTTTCTCTCCCTCTTTCTTTTGTCCATCCTTGGATGTCACATGCCTAGCAGCCAAGAGAGTTACATCACCTCTCGGGTATCTCATTGGTCCAAAGGCCTAGGATCAATCAGAGACCTTTTCCCTAGAAATCTAGTTAGTCCTCACACTATGGCACGGAGCTTGGTGACTACTTGACACGGCATTATGTCAGTAGTTCAAGAGCTCCCAGGATGGCATCCCACTTGATTCCTGCCTGGACTGGCTAAAGTTGTGAACATCTTGTCTTGCTGGAACTGACTG